GTCTAGGTCTGCCAAGGTCCTATGGGATTCTGTATTCCACAGCTGCAGAAGTTCCATGTATGTTTGTGTATAGTCATTGTCCTGCTTCTTTAGGATACATTGCGCAATACTTGATGGGATTCCCAGAGCAACGTATAAATCGGAGAAATTTGTCGGATAGAGTCCTTTTGAAATTCTTAGCAAATGCACTTCTGTTACTTCTGGTAAATCGGTAGGCCTGAAATTATAGGAGAGAAAAAGATTGAGTTTGCAATGTTAACATCAATATATAGGCCTACAGCTAGTTATGGCAAAAATGTTGTCAATGATAATAGTTAATTGATTATAAAAATTTAACGAGGGTGAATTTACAACCTGTCTAAAGTTGAAGAAAATGTTAAATTAACTTTGCATGTAGAGCAATATTATGTTGAAAACAACAAAAAGGCCACAATAAATGAATATATTTTAAATATTATAACCAAACCAATACCTTGTCTCATTAAGCGCCTTTTAAATCATTAAAACATTTCAAGTTAGTGATTATCTAAAAGACTGTCAATTTCTGTAAATAAATGACAATGAACGGGGGAAGAAAACACCACTGCACAATTAAATTGCCCAAACCAAGAAAACTCCATTCTATGAAAACCCGAGTTCCACAACAGACCGAACTTAAAATAAAAAAGTTGTTAGAATTTTAAAATGTCAGCAGATTAACGCCTAGAAGACAATCAGCAGCGAAATAGAACATTTCGAAATAGAAAAAGAAAAATATCGACCTACTTTTGAGCTCTGTTTGTCCTTGGTGTCTCCTTGTCCCCTATAGTAAGAAAAATATCAAAACAAAACACTGCTTCACGTCGGTGTTTCATTATTCCCATTAAAGCATTTCATTTATATTACAAACTGATTTCCAGTGGTATTTCCAAATGTCACGTTTTTTTTCTGACAGTTTTATAACCTTTTAACATTTAATTTCTTGTAAATTTTGTATTTTTCTTCGATTAATAGTAAATGCAAATGAAACCAAATATGATGGCAGAGAGAGATGTTGGTCAAACGAATCAGATTGGCGTCACCATGCGTTTGGTAGAGAATTTTTTTTTTACCAAAATAGAGCTTGTTCGAGAGAAGTAAATTTAAATCTTTATTCTTAGTACCTAATCAATCTGTCTGTCAGAAAAAAGAACACCAAATTATAATTATTCTAGGTCAATATCTTATGGCATCAGCATTTTCTTTTCCTTTCTTTTTGTTTGTTTCCATGTTCTTACCGTTTAGACGTTTGAAACAGGATATAAGCTTAACATGTATACAGGGGTAAACTAATTCCTAACAATGTTGATCTTCTGGAGGTAGGAGGTCATAGTGTTGCGCGAAGTGAGCATGTTAAATTCTTCGGTGTTATAATAGATGAGTACTCATCTTGGAAACCCCATTTGGATGCTATATGCACAAGATTTCGCGAAGTGTTGGTGTCATACGTAGGTTAAGATTTATCCTACCTAAGAATGTTTTATTAATTTTATAAAACAGTATTGTTCTCCCTTACCCGTATTGCAATGTTGCGTGGGGTAACACTTTTATGATGTAAATTGATAAACTTAAAATATTGCAAAAGAAAGTCATTCGGCTTGTTACCAACTATAACTTCAGACAGCCTAGTAAGCCATTATTCCTTGAAATGAAATTGCTGCCTGTTGATGAGCTTGTGTCATTCAGTAGTATGATGTTTGTGTTTAAACTTAAAGGGACTTGGTAACATTTTTCAGATGAGAGATAGTGGTGCTAAGGAAGTGACTTCAATGCTAGATGTACAATTAAAGATAATCTTGAAATTTGAGTGAAAACGGACCATTATTCATGGTACAAATTGTTAAAAACTGATCTGATCAATTCCTTAATTCTCCCAACTATATTATTACAATTTAATTTCATTTTAGGTGAATGGAAAACGTCACGAAGCAATAGAAAGGCTCTACATTCCATTCCAGACAATTAAGGGTTGACAGATTTTTGTATAGCCTACCTTTTTTTCATGGAAAAACGGTTGGGAGAATTTACTGCTAATCACTGTTGGAGGGTGTCGAACATTGACTCCTTCAAAGAAAACCATAGATATCTTCGGGGTTTGAGAATTTGTTCAGGATTTTTTGCATGTCAGAGGGTTAGTACAGTAAAAGCAATATAGTAAGTAACATTTTATACAGAAATTGAGCAATTTTTTTTCATCAACCTTCAACAATGTTACCAAGTCACTTTAAGTTTTATCCTCAGGCTTGCCTGTCAAAAGACCAATTTCCCTGTAACTCCCAGATACAAAGCTACAATACAGGTCAAAGTAACCTTGTGCATCAACCTCATGTAAGGACAAATGTTGCACCGGATTCTTTTCGAATCACATGTACTAACGAGTGGACCTAGTTACCCGCAGACTAGATTCAGACTTTTATGTAAATCATGCATTGCTGCTATTACGTATTATAGCAATCATTAGCCAGTCAGCTTCTGTGTGTGTGTGTGTGTGTGTATGTGCGTGTGTGTGTTAAGGGAGTTCATGATGTCAGTGATTCAGCTTTTTTTCTTCTAAATATGTTTTTAAAGTTGCATAAAGTTTACATAACCTTGCCATTTCCTTGTAATCAGTTTTGTACGTTATCATGTTTTTTGTGTTAATGAACTTGATCTCGGTTGGCGGACTCTGGGACCTGCTTGTTTTCGGGGCTATACGCGCGTGAGACTGTATCGTATCCATGATCGTATCCTACCATCTTTCATGTTTTTGAACTGCGCTGATCCTTGAAACACGTTGGTCTCTTTGCCAATCAACCGGGATTGAGAGTTCCATCCTTCCCAGGGGCCACACTCACAAGCATTGCTTTTTTGGGTCTCAATTTGGATCTTGTTTGTTCGTCATGATTGCTATGTCTGGTGTTTTTAATAATCTGAACTGAACTGAACTGAACTGAACTCAAGGTTGTTTTTGTTCTGTTTCTTCCGTTTGTTTCTTTTTTTCTTCGTTATAAAGCTGAAAGCTAAACCAAGGACGTACAAATATATGATTTCAGGCAATTAACACTTACCTGACAGACTCATCAGGAACATAATCTCTTTCTCTGCGCTTTGTTCCAAAATAAACTTGACAAAGATTTGGGATTTACCAGAGCCTGAAGTGTCAACGCCGAACCGTACATTGACCTCAACTGATTTATGAAACAGAGTTTCATGTTGTGTCTGTTAAAAAAGTCATAGAATTACAATTTTAGATACACATCAAATGTACCCATCGTGTCAATTAACTAGATTGTATGTCCTAACGATTTGCCTAATATAAGATTATCTTTTCCTCTGCAAGGCTACAGTTTAATGGTACTACGTGTGTCTCCATTAGACCCCGTAGGTATCATCCTATATAACATAACGTGTTTCCGATCCCCTGTTAAAATGATGGAGTAATCAAACGCACACCCACGTCTGCTCGCAACAAAACACGCACACACACTATCGTCGAGCGATGGTAAATAAACATTATTCGTATTATTATTATTATTTATGCTTCTATTGATACGCGGTATCACATTAACACACCTTAGGTAAGAAATGTTGCATATATTCATTCATATTCAGGTAATATAATCGAGTAACTTTAATTGTAATATAAACTTTTCATTCAACTGTTTACCTACTTATTTTCCCTCTCTAGTATACCTCCGTCACAGTATTGAGAGAGGTAGCTGTGGCACGCGCGCACGTTCGCGATCAAATATTAATTCATGGAGTTTCAAATAAGTTCCCTTCTATATAGAGATTTTATTTGGGAGGGATTTATTTTGAGCTCCATGATTTAACATTTGATCGCGAAAGTGCGCGCGTGTCACAACTACCTCTCTCTCAATACGCTATGCACCGATCATACAGACCATTTTGTGTTTTAATTTGTGGAAGGGGGTTATTAGGATAAATGTATTCATTCCAAATAATTAAGTTGTATAATTGTGTACTCTATATGTAATGTAATTCGTAATAATTAGTATGATGTACATGCATTGAATGAATTCAATGAAAAATAAATACTTAAACAAATAAAAATTAAAGACATCACACTAACCAAACAAAAACATTGCTCTGAATAGCAAAAAAAAAAAACGATCAATGAATTTTGAATCGGTTTGTCGTTGTTACTAAAGCATTTATATGAACTTGCCTTGGTGTATATTTCCTTGTCGTCTACCTGACAGGTTACTTTAAGATCGCCAGAACGCCATGCCACAAAATACTCTTCTCCCTTTATCGGTGTCACGTATCCTGGTTCCGGCTGATTTTTGTTATGATATAAAAAGAATATACATGTACAATGAAAAGAAAGCAGCCCAAAAATGTGTAATGCTAAATAGACGTATACATAATATACAGTTTACACTTTACACAAGCAAGAAAACCACATGGCAATAAATTGAAAACAAAAATTAAAACAACAACATTAAGAACGGAACAATGCATAACGTTTAAACACTTTGTCATTTTTCATTTTAAGTTTTACCTTATGATTTGTTTTTGAGGCCGTCATCCTAGTCAAGCATCGCTTATGATTGCGATCTCCTGCACTTTTTCAACAGATAGTTGAATATATTAAATTTCGTTACTATGTGAACATATGTACAAACAAAAAAAACGATTTGACATGAAATTTGTGTTGTTTGTGAATTTTGTATTGTACGTGTACATGTTCTTTATTATTCAGTTATTATATTGGAAAAGAGCAGAAATAAAATAAAATAAAATAAAATAAAATAAAGTAAAAAAGTAAAAAAGAAGACAGAGGAAGCAAACGACTGGATAGCCCATTTCCAGCTGCACTTGCGTACTGCAGCTTTTCTTCCATGGGGACCAGAAATTAAAAACAAGAAGATTTTCGGGGGGGGGGTCAACAAAACAAAACAACAAGAACAATGGTTTGAAGAAAAAATAACTTAATTAAGGTCTTACGGTATCAATTAATTTAGTTGTGAAAGAGGGTTCTACGACACGTACCCCTGGACATCCACCCCCTGATAACCAAACAACAAGTAATTTATGCCATTTATATTCTGACTATAGAACTAAATTATTCCTAACAGGTGAATTAAATCATTTGTAACATGGCACTTAAAGTATACGCATAACACTTCATTAAAATATGAAAATGGTCTATTTGCCCTGCTCCAGCCCATGTTGCTTGTCATTTCGAGGTGAACCTCATGCGCAGGCTCTGTTGTTCTAAACCAGTAACCTGAACGACAAGCTAATATGACATAAGTACTTTAGTAGTCTTTGAACAAACTGGCCCGAATTCACAAAGGAGGTTTGTCGACCATCCTAAGTTTATGTGTGTCATATGACGCGTTTCGACGCGTTTTTACAGACCAAGGTTTGTAAAAACGCTTCGAAACGCGTCATATGACGCACATAAACCTAGGTTTGTCGACAAACCTCCTTTGTGAATTCGTGCCATTATGTCACAATACCCCTTCCCTTTCATACCTCCGCTTTCCCTTGGTTACTGTCTCTAATGCAGAGCCTCAACAGATGCTTAGTGTTCATAGGGCTTGGTTCAGGTACGAAAGGCGTACAGATGACACGCTTGCCCACGAATACCTTTGTGATGAAGGCAACAATCCACCATTCAGAGAAGTGAGAGATATAGAGGTCAAGGTCTCGCTCTCTAACAACACATCGAGGGTCACCATTGGCAGCAGCAATCAACGAAAAACTGTCGGAGCCTTTAAATTGAAAACAAAAGACATATGCGTAATCGCAATTTGTTCTTGTTTGCAAAATCGAAAACAAAGCAAAGTAAACACTTTTTCAACGGTTTCTGAAAGTGTTTGACATTTAAAATAAATATTAAAAAAATAAAACATACTAAAAATCTAAGAAAAATCAGACCCCAAAAAAGTAATCTTTCAAAACGGCGTCAAAGATGGCAGCCATTACGTTGGAATAGCTTTAACAGATAATACACCCAACATATAGATATTATTTTAGTGTCGGTTTGGAGGGTCGAGGCATCCATTCATATTAAAACTCTATCGTTGCATTTGGGGTCAAACCCTAAATTGAACCGACAATTTTGAGAAGTTGGACTCTGTTTATGTTAATGAAGCACCCCGTGAAGCACGCATAAACTTATTACTCGATGTTGCTATGTTACGATTCTCAAGAAACATTAATCAGGACAATTCAATTTCCACATACTTTAGAAATTACAGCAACTTGGTAAGGTTACGAATAATTTAGTTGTTAACTGTAAATATTCTTACTTCCTTTTCGATGGTAAGTCCCAATAGATGCAGAATCGGGACTTGTGAAAATTGCTGAATGGGGCATCGTCACTTTTACTGGATATTCAAACTTTGCATTAGACGATGACGCCTTAAGGCCAACACATATGATTGCTTGGTCCTCCGTTAACAAGTCTATCAGTTCAGCTGGAACTTCAGATACTGCCTGGATGTCATCAACGCCCCAAATCTCACTTGAATGAAACTGGACTTCAATGCCATACTTCTCGATGCGAATCGAGCCTGACTGCTGATCGGATGCCCCCATGGAATCACGAGTAACATCTTCTACGACGTGTTCAGAAGATGTAAAGTCTAAGTTAAGCTGTTCGAGTTTTGAGGTGTGTACGTTTGCTTCGTTATCCACCTGTTTTTTTAGACCCCCACTTTCCTGTTTTGAACCAACGGCTGGATCTACAAAGAAACAATCAAATCAGGTCTTATATAGCACAGAATATACAGCAGAAACGGCAGTTTATTCATCTCATGATCATCTGTTCACTCACTGTAAACAAATGTGCACAGGGGCGGCGGCGGAGCGTTTTTCAAAGTGGGGGGGGGGTGGGGGGCAACATCAAAAGGGCACTGTCTGGAGAGAAAAAAAGGGGGCACCTACAACGGGAAATCTCAAAGCGACAATATACCACTTTTAGAAATTGATATATACCCCTACATTGTGATTACATTATCAGGGATGCTTCCAGTATTTGTTTTCTCTCTACAGTCGACATGGTCCAAGATACTGCTTTAGCATCAACAGAGATGACAAAAGACTTGTCAACGAAACGGAGTTAAGTCCGTTGTCATTTCTTCTTGTTGCTACGGCAGACAGCCAGTGAAAACGAATTCGTTTGATACAATTATGGAAATGCAAGCACTACTTAAAACAAACAGAACTTTGTCATTCCTTGCTCATTTTTCCCGATTGAAGTGTCATATGAAAAGGCAGAAACCCGAATTTCTAGAAATATGATTTTCTTCTTGAAATTCAGATACCGTCCGCCAAATGACTTGTTGTGTTCCTCTCTTCAAATTGATTTTAATCACTCATGCGTGAAATATGGATCATATGAGTTACATCAAATGAAAGAGGAGGATCTAAGCTTTCCAAATATGTGTCATTTATTTATTATAAATGTGACTAAATTGTGATAAAACATCGATAATTCTCGGTTTCTCTTTTTCTGGGACGCACTGTATAATACATTAATCACTAAAAACTTTCCAAATATGTGTCATTTATTTATTATAAATGTGACTAAATTGTGATAAAACATCGATAATTCTCGGTTTCTCTTTTTCTGGGACGCACTGTATAATATATTAATCACTAAAAACTTTCCAAATATGTGTCATTTATTTATTATAAATGTGACTAAATTGTGATAAAACATCGATAATTCTCGGTTTCTCTTTTTCTGGGACGCACTGTATAATATATTAATCACTAAAAACTTTCCAAATATGTGTCATTTATTTATTATAAATGTGACTAAATTGTGATAAAACATCGATAATTCTCGGTTTCGCTTTTTCTGGGACGCACTGTATAATACATTAATCACTAAAATATAACGGCCAATACAGGCCTATGAAAATGATGTTCTTTAATGGCATGTTTAAGACGCAAATGCCTTCAAAGTACATGGTTATTGCTCTTACATTCTAATTTATGTAATTTTAGATCCCATAATGTGTAAATTTAGATTGAATACGATCAATTCAGCTCCACTTTAAAAAAAATAAGGTGACCGTTAATTAATCATAATTAATCATAACGATAAACGGGCCGGCTGGTTGTGCGTATTATAACCAGCACGAAAAGGCCAACAAAAAGCCGATATTGGCATTAGCTGGAATAAAACGTATATGCACTATCTCGTTTTTCAACGGCTGAGACAAAATAACCGTACATTTGTGGGGCACCGCAAATATTAGAAATGGTTATATTTATGAATATTTCAGCTGTCTCTGAACCAACTTTGATCATAAAAAGATGATTTTGTCATTTAAATTGTATATTCCTTCAAATTTGACACTTTGTTTTTCATTATCTCACCTAATATTTAATTTTGTGAAGCGCCCTCTGCAACACAATTCAACTATCCCTTTTACAAAGAAGGTTGGTATTTGACTTTAGTCTATCAGTGACTTATAGTCATCTCCCCTTAAATCTCTAATATCAACATCTGATATATATATTTTCTTAAAATAATAATGATAATAATTAATTAAAAATAGGGAATGGCAGATAAGATTACAGTTATACCAGGAGCGTCGATCCCGGGGGACGGGAAGGGGAAAGCATGTCCCCCCTCAATTATTTTAGGGGGGATCGTCCCCCTCTCGGAAAATTTGAAAAAGTTCCCCCAAAAAATGTATAGCAAATAATAACTAAAGACTGCAACATTCTTTTAAGCTCTGGAGGGCCCAAGAGTGCAGCGATAAGACTATACAAATGCAAAAATATTCTCGCTCGGTCGCTACGCTCCCTCGCATAATATCCTTAAACATGTACAAGTAAATATTGTAGGAAATATGTATTCCGGAATAGATGCAGCTACCTGGTCAAATCGTATTTGCACGAACTAATGGATATATAAGAATAAGTTTATGAAATGTACCTGCAGATATTATGTCAGAAGGGTTCAATAACTTTAAGTAAATTTAGATGTAAAACACATAGATTACCTGTTTATAAAAGCAGATTTGATGCAAATGTAATAGTACATGATTTGCAATGCCCACTTTGTACATCAACCGATATTGGTGATGGATTTCATTATATTTGTATATGTCCATTCTTTCAAAATGAGAGAAAAATGTATATTAAATAACTTGTGTAGTAGTAGCTCTAGACCAAGTCCGTTGCAAATGGATAAGGTTTTTAATACAGTTCATGCTTGCCAGCTAAAGAAATTAGCAAAATTTGTTAGGATAATTATGTCACATTTTTCAAAAGAGCCAAGTGTAGATGGTAGTACTGTAAATGATAGCTCACAAGTTAGCAATGTTGTGAGGCAAACTTGTAGCGGTAGGAGGGTGGATTGCCCAGTTCGCCTTGATTTGTAAATAATAAATTGATTTGTTCATATTATCACAATCATTATTCATAGTATCACATGTTTTATTATTGTTCATATTATCACATGTTTGTCTTTGTTCATATTATCATTTGTTTATCATTGTTCATATGATTACATGTTTATCATTGTTATACTATTGCTATATTAATACTATGTTTTAAATATGTTTGTATTCACATACCCCGAGAGGGGGTCGATAGAGTACATCTTACAATCAATCTTACCAACTGAACTTACCTTTATCAATTAACTGCGCGTGGAGAGGTGTGCGCCTCCTACCAATATCAGCCCTATTTGGATCTGCTTCTCGGTAAGTGAGAAACTGTACCACATCCTGGTGACCATTGAATGCTGCCGCTTGGAGAGGTGTCCTGCCATCATTACCAGCCGTATTTAAATCTGCTCCTTGGCCAATGAGAAACTGTACAACGTCGAGGTGACCATTGAATGATGCCGCATGGAGAGGTGTGCGCCCATCAAAACCAGCCCTATTCAGATCTGCTCCTTGGCCAATGAGATCCTGTGCAACCTCGAGATGGCCTTTGAGTGATGCCACCTCAAGAGGTGTGCTGCCATCTTTACCAGCCCTATTTAGATCTGCTCCTTGGCCAATGAGAAACTGTACAACATCCAGGTGACCATTGAATGATGCCGATTGGAGAGGTGTGTGACCACCAATACCAGCTATATTTAGATCTGCTTTTTTGCCAATGAGAAACTTAACAACATCGAGATGACCTTTGAGTGATGCCACTTCTAGAGGTGTGCTGCCATCTCGACCAACTCTATTTAGATCTGCTCCTTGGCCAATAAGAAATTGTACAACATTGAGGTGACCCTTAAATGATGCCGCTTGGAGAGGTGTGCGCCCACCAATACCAGCCCTATTTAGATCTGCTCCTTGGCCAATGAGAAATTGTACAACATCGAGATGACCTTTGAGTGATGCCGCTTCTAGAGGTGTGCTTCCATCTTTACCAGCCCTATTTAGATCTGCTTTTTGGCCAATGAGAAACTGTACAACATCGACGTGACCTTTGATTGATGCCACTTCTAGAGCTGTGCTGCCATCTCGACCAACCTTATTCAGAACTGCTCCTTGGCCAATAAGAAACTGTACAACATTAAGGTGACCATTAAATGATGCCGCTTGGAGAGGCGTGCGCCCACCAATACCAGCCCTATTTAGATCTGCTTTTTTGCCAATAAGAAACTGTACAACATCGAGGTGACCTTTGAGTGATGCTGCTTCTAGAAGTGTGCTGTTATCATTACCAGTCCTATTTAGATCTGCTTTTTTGCCAATGAGAAACTGTACAACATCAAGGTGACCATTGAATGATGCCGCAAAGAGAGGTGTCCTGCCATCTTTATCCGCCCTTTTTAAATCTGCTCCTTTGCCAATGAGAAACTGTACAACCTCGCAATGACCATTGGATGATGCTGCATGTAGAGGTGTCCTGGCATCTTTATCCGCCCTTTTTATATCTGCTCCTTGGCCAATGAGAAACTTTACAACATCGAGGTGACCATTAGATGATGCTGTATTGAGAGGGGTCCTGCCATGTATATTCTCCTTGTTTAGATCTGCTCCTTGGTCAGTGAGAAACTGTACAACATCGAGGTGACCGTTTAATGATGCCCTGTGGAGAGGTGGCATGCCGTATTTATCCGCCTTTTTTAGATCTGCTCCTTGGCCAATGAGAAACTGTACAACGTCGCGATGACCATTAGATGATGCCGCATGGAGAGGTGTGTGACCACCAATACCAGCCATATTTAGATCTGCTTTTTGGCCAATGAGAAACGTAACAACATCGAGATGACCTTTGAGTGATGCCACTTCGAGAGGTGTGCTGCCATCCCGACCAACCCTATTTAGATCTGCTCCTTGGCCAATGAGAAACTGTACAACATCGAGATGACCATCGAATGATGCTGCTAATAGAGGTGTACTGCCATCATTACTACCCCTATTTAGATTTGCTCCTTCGACAAAGAGAAACTTTACAACATCGAGGTGACCATTGAATGATGCTGCATAGAGAGGTGTCCATCCATCCTTATCTTCCCTATTTATATCTGCTCCTTGGTCAATGAGAAACTTTACAACATCGAGGTGACCGTTGAATGATGCTGCATAGACAGGTGTCCATCCATCCTTATCTTCTCTATTTATATCTGCTCCTTGACCAATGAGAAATTTTACAATATCGAGTTGCCCATTAAAAGATGCTGCGTAGAGAGGTGTCTTGCCATTATTATTAGCCCTGTTTATATCTGCTCCTTGCCCAATGAGAACCTGTACAGCATCGAGGCGACCATTGGATGCTGCTGCTTGGAGAGGTGTCAAATCATCTTTTTTAGCCCCAGAAAGGTCTTCTCTTTGAAACTTGTCCCCATCCATGATAAGAATTCAACTGATCTGAGCGTCTGCCTGTAATTTCTAGACTATTATAGCAAAAGTATGTGCTATATTTGATCAACTAGAACTGTATTACAGCTGAAGACATGAAGTTAATGAGAATCTGTGTCTTTGTGTCTATTTCATTATCGCCCCTAACGACTCCAAGCTATGAAACGAAGATAGATGGGTAGGCTATACCGTGCCAGTTATTATCTGCTCCAAGTAAAACGGCTGGCAATGGTTTAACGTGCCTGCAAACGTCATTTAGACCGCGTGATTTGTCTTGCCCACAAAGGAGATCAGTTTTTCTCATTATATATTATATTTAATGTTCATTTCAGCTGCATAGGTACGTTCCATTTCCGAATAAGCATGATGGTCTTCCATTCTCCCATTAATATCACATATCCAACACCTCCTCAACGTAGTGAAATTTAGAAAGTGTATAGGCGGCCTAGGCCTACAGATATGGCAATGCTGTTATTCCGAAATACCAAAAAAACAGCGCGATCACATAGGAAACTAGTATGATATGACGTTTAGTACAGGCTACAATTAATACACGCAGCTCTATTCAATTTTTGCTACAGTATGACTATAACGCACTCAACCGTCATCCGGGTGTGAATTATGCTAGCTGCTTCCTCAAAACTGTATATTGTAGAAGTTGACATATGACCTGAATTTGGTTTCTGTTTACTTTTTTACTCGGCTCAATGAACAGTTGACAATAGGCCTAACCAATAAAATCGTACTAGCATATTCCAATAACATGACGGAGGAGAATATTTATCGTAAAAAAATATGATACCAACGTGCATTTACAGCTTTGGAAGAGGGATTTTTTTTTTTTTTTTTTTTGGGGGGGGGGGGGAGTATTTTGGATTGCAATAATTCATAGGAGTTCAAGTTTGTCCAATATCTATGAAACAGCAATTTTCATCCATTTTTATGAATCAATCGGATAGAATTGATTTTTGTAAACGAATTTAACATGAGTCTGGATAATTTTATTAAGTAATGATGTATACACTGCATATAGTCGGATTAAAGAGCAGCAATGGCGAATAATTGTTTCTAATATACAGCAAATTTGTGTTGCTAAGATTGCTTTTCCCTTAAATTATCATGAGACATAAAGCTAGAGACTGCAAACCTGGGAAACAGTATTACTTTAGCAAATATTTACTTCATCATCCTCGTTCCAGTTTCCTTTTTACTTTGAAGGCCTACTGTATGGAGAAGAAAATGAATAACGCTCTAAGTCAGTGACTAAGCTCCGGAGGGGGGGCATGTTTTTCGTATTTAATCGTATTGCGAGAGAAAGAGAGAGAGAGAGAGAGAGAGAGGGGAGCGATGGGGTTGTGCGGGATTCAAGTTCAGTTTTCTTTAAAATTATTCAACCTAGCTATATCTTCCATTTGTTTGCCATGTGATAGTTCCACAGTGATGTTTATTGTTGTAAATAATGTAATTGGCTTGCACTCAGTGCGTGCTTGATGTTGCCATTAGGGACTTTTCGATTTGCACGTCGACATAGTGGACTGCTAGGTGTGACGTCCTAATAAGGCACTGTCGGTGCCTTAAAAGGACGTCATACGTTACAGTCCAGTATGTCGACGTGCAAATCGAAAAGTCCCTAATTGAAAACAAGTCAAAACAAAACCTTTTAACCAGAGGGACCTACTGGGTGTAAGCTAAAAGTTACTGTACAACAATTGAAACTTCTCCTAGAAAGCCTATACAAATAAAAAAGGAGTTTATTCAAAAAGCAATGTACAGACGATGAAAAAATATGAATAGTACATCGTTGTTATCGTGTGAATGATCTCTTCTTTATCTCTCTGCCGAATCCTGCGAACAGTGGAATCAATCTAGCGGAATCAATTGATAAACGAATGTATCATGAGTCATGACAGATTAATTTGCTACTGCATATCATAGTCGTGGCGAATAATTGTTGATAAGATTGCTGGAAATATCCCGGTGTATTTCAGTCGGCATAAAGGTCGGCATAGCTAAGACCACTATCGTTCAGATAGTTACCACAACAGCCTTTACGCCGACCTTGCCATACTTACGCCGACTAGCTCCAAACACGACCTTTACGCCGACCAAATTTGCCAGCATTTGAACATAAGTAGTGAGTGGTCAATAGCCGTGTGGAGGGAAAGGGGGGGGGGGTAGTTTTTATGATTGGAATGCGGAGACTGCTATGGATAATTGTGTATCTTTATCTGAGATTTGAAAGCATTTATATTTTCGTTTTTGGGGGTCCACGTTACGGTTAGGACTATGATTTGGTTAATATTTAGGGTTAGGGTTAAGGTTCAGATTAGGGTTAAGATTTCAATGTCCCAAAAATGCCCCTTACAATCTGTAACAAGTGTCACTTTACCTTTAATTGCCTCTGTTTAAATCTGAGAGGTGCCCCTTATATTTTGACAAGTGCCTCTTTTCATTTGTGTGCCCTCTTTTCATTCTTATAAATTCCCCTTTTCATCTCCGACGAGTGCCTTTATTTAAATCTGAGAGGTCACCCATTTCACTCTGCAATAAGAGGCCCTATTCATCTATAAAAAGTGCACCCTTTTATGTTGACACGTGCCCTTTATCCTTTCTAATCAGTGCCATTTTCCTGCTCATAAATGCCCCTTTTCTTTTTTGACAAGAGCCGCTTCCCCTTCTTATAAATGCCCATTCTGACACCTCTGATAGATGCCTCTATCAAAATCTAAAACATGCCCATTTTCCTTCGACAAGTGCTCATTTCCCCCTTGTAATAAGTGCACCTTTTCCGTTATCATTAAAGCCTTTCTTCATCTCTGGTGAGTGCCCTTTATCAGGTGCGAGAAGTGCTCCATTCTCATTTCTAATAATTCCCCGTTTTACTGTGACATGTGCTCTTTAACAAAACAAAATTCCATTTGGATATATGCCATCGTTTCCTTTTACCATAAAATGTGCTCCTAAGTTAAAGGCACCGAATTTTAACTTCACCAAAACTTCGCTCGCTACATGATCTCGCATTTAAAGTTGATATAAATGTGTTTCTTATTTAAGATCTGTTCAGTCTTTCATGATTGCAATGTGCTTAAAACCCAATCAGGATTTTCTTTTGCTCTTTATAAAATATTCTTTCGGAATGCGACCTCACTAATCCTAAATTATTCTGATCATCACACCAAACTGCAAAATGTGATGGTTATTAAAGCAGTATCTTGAACCGTGCAAAGAGAACGTTGAAATCATCCTTGATAATGTAATCACATTGTAGGGGCATATACCAATACAAAATTGTCATATTTTCACTTGGAGATTTCTCTTTGTAGGTCCCCCTTTTTTCCAGAAAGTGCCCTTTACGTTGGTGCCCCCTCCCCCACCTTGAAAGACTCTCCGTCACCCCTGGGGTCAGCAAAAGGATTACAACTGACGTCTTAGTGTAATTGTTTATTGGGGTACTCTGCATTTGTTCAGATATGTATTACTTTTTGCCCAAATTGTCATGATTAATGCCCTTTTCCTCTTCTCAAGGATCCTCGTTGGGTAAGGATTAGGATTAGGATCACTTGTAGGTTTGGGCAGTGAGGTATGCGATATGTTAAATTGTTCAGAAATTCAATGATTTTTTTTCGTTGTTATTGTTATAGAGTCTTAAGGCTGTCCAATCTAAAACAAAATATTTCCGCCTGGCTATACTGTTCTTCGAGTCATTTCGTCAATTATGAATAGATGGCGCTGTTTCCTTTCCTCTTGCTCAAACATTGATTCAGTCTTTTCAGTGTTTCATTTTTCTTCAACAATGCTACTCCAATGGTCGCCATTGGGTTGAACATAGCTTTCTTTCGTTGGTTGCAACCGTCCAATCGATTGTGTGGGCAATAGTTCAGGTGTCTTGCTTGAAATCGCCTCATTTAATAATATATTTGTTATTATTTATTTTTGTAATATTTTGTTTAGTAGTGCTGACTGTGTTAAAGACAATAAAGGTAACTGGGTCTACGGTCAGGGTGTAGAGTTTGTCTCTGACGAAGATAACATTCATAAAGTTCAAAATCATAACTTTAAGAAGCCCCATGGGCGAGATCTAGTTTATCTTTAACGCTTCAACATAATTCCTTACCCTGCCTAATATCGAGTGTTTATGTATACAGTGGGAAATCGTTTTCACGAGGTGCTAGGGACCAAGAAAATTATCATGTAATATCAGGAATCTAGTTATATTATAAGAATATAAAGAGATGGGACCAACACAAATAAGTTTGTTATAACAGATACATTAATATATCAGAGCTCTTTATACTGCCGTTTCACTCTATATATAAATGTGTGTTTTTGTACATGTAAACGTGTATACACACTCGCACACACGCCCCGCCCCCCACACACACCCACACACCCGCCCACACACACACATACACAGTGTATAGTCCTGCGTCATTTTAAGAAAAAATAGACAGCTAAAAAATCGAATAATTAAATGACCGTAGGAGATACAAATATTAAATGACAAATTTATTCAAAACAAGTAAATACTTCCAAAATGTTTATAAAAGGTACAGGTACTAACTTTTAAGTTTATTTACATTATAGTGACACTCTGAAGAGTATGAAGTATTTACTGCGATTCAAGGACTCTAACCTACTTATTTTCTCTTTGTTATGAAAGCTATTATTCAATAGGCCATTCTTTGTAATACCACGAAATTTAATGCACACATCTTTGTTAAGTGCCTCGTTGAAAATTATTTCATTCACCTTTTACAATTAATTGTATTTCAATAGTCAAGATGCGTGTTGTTTGGTAGGACAAGGAGAGTACATTTGTCATGTTCACTTTAATAGTGTAATCTTTCAATCAAATAAAGATTAATTATAAATTAATCAATTATCAAATATTCAATACTATTCTTTTCTGTTCAACATCATTTTACAAAGATCTTGATTCATTCATTCATATAATTCAGTGAGCAATATTTACAGTAGTGTCAATAATAACA